GGCAGGGAGAACAGGGGGGCTACCTGAGGACAGTATCTTCCCTGGTTCCCCTCCCTGCAGCACAGGCTGCCTGCAGACCCCAGCTCACAGGCACTGCTGGAGGGGAGCAGAATGACCCCCTGTCCGCAGGCAGGGATGCTCCCAACATTTATATATATAATCTGTGGATGTGGAACCTTTTGCCTTCCTTTTTTTCCCTCCCCTACCTTAAAAAACCCAACAAAACCCCAGCGCCAGCTCATGCTGTGCCTCTCACTCCAGGCAATGCTGCTCAGTTTCCTCCTTCCCAAGAAGGAAGGAAGGAAAGAAGGAAGGAAGGGAGGGAGGAAGGAAAGGAAGTGCCCGCCGCCGGCTCTGGGGCGCGTTGCACACAGCCTCCAACCCCAACCCCAACCCCAACCCTGAGCGCTGAATACAGGGGGCTGGCAGCACCCCTTCAAGCTTTGCAACCAGCCTGGTCATGCAGCAGCCTGATGGGGATACCCAGGGATCCGGCTGTGCCCAGTGCTGGATGACATGGGATGAGGTGGGGAGCTGGTGGCTGCAGCCCATGGGGAAACCTTCATGGGTGTAAAGAGTGAGGTTGGCTCCGTGTGGACTTGGCCATGGGATATAGGGATGTGGGGACACCTCTGGGTGCATCCCTGCTGTGTCTAGCACTCAGCAGAGCTGGCATTCCTTGGATGGTGCAGAAGGACCATCCCCAGAGGAATCCCATGGAGGGCTGAGTGCTGTGTGGGGCTGAGGGAGGACCCTTCATGGCCGTTGGGAATGGGATGCATGGCTCAGTGGGAACAGCACTGGGATGGGTGGTGGGGCTTCGTCCCCTGACCCTTTGCTGCATTCCTATGCATGGAATGGTGCCAGTGACACCAGGGACAGCAGGGCAAGGTTTAGCCCTGAGGACTGTCCCCATCACTGTCCTGTGGCCCCACATCTGGGGGGACTTTGGGTCACTGGAGCCCTCCCAACACCAAAACACTGATGAGTAAAGTCACCATCTCTGCAGAGGCAATGATTGTCGGCCCCGTGGGGTTGGTGCCTTGGTGGGAGTCCCATCCCTTGCCAGCCCTTGCTCATGGGCATGCCCAAAAGGGACACCGGGGCATCCCCTTCCCAGTTTGCATGGCTATCAATCAGTCTACTAGTCCCAGTAAGCATCAGGGGAGGGAAGCGGCAGGTCTCTGTGGCAGTGAGGAAGACTCCACAACCAGGAATAAAATTCCCTTCCTCCAGATTCCCTCTCAGCAGGACAAAGTGGGACTCAGTGAGCCAGCAGCACCCTTGGGTGCCATGCCCACTCCCTTAACCCCCCAGCTGCTCCCCAAACCAGGGCACAGGGTACACAG